TTCTGATAGAACAGAAGCTCCCAGAGAACAGAGGACCAATATTAGCTCATCTACTCTCAGCATGATTTATCACAGAGCAGGAGGTCCAAGTTTAGGAATGAGGCCATGATTCAGCCCACCAGCCACAATAAGGTTAAGCAATGCATGTATAAAATCCCATTATCAATAGTGTAAAAATATGTTTTGCACTTAAGAGACAAAGTTCTCAAGCTTTTGCAGATCAAAAGAACTTTGGTTTCCTGAACTACTTATACATTCACTTTCTTGGAGAAAAAGGTAATTGGGGTTTACCTGTTTATAAACAGTAGAAAATCGGAGAAAAGAGAATTAAAATTATCTCACCCAGTACTGTTTGCTACGCAGGAAACAACCATAAAGGAAAAAGATCTGTTGCTCTGCTGGTTCTCAGTGACAGGAGAAACCATAATAGCAAAAGGCATTTTTCAGCTGGGGCATTTTGAAGACTTTCCATAAGACTGTTCTCCTGATCTCAATACCTTACCAGACATGCATGATTTTTCTCCTTCCACCACTTCTGCTCTCTATTTCAATCACCATTGGCTTCTGCTCCCCATCACACTGTGGACTTGCAGATGCTCTGCCTGGGTAGCAGCAGTAGTTCTAGCAGAGCTGACACACTCGCTCCCTCTCGCAGAATCACCTCAGCATTGCTGCTTGCTCTATCAGCACATACTTAAAACAATACAGGTCTGCATTCTTGCTCGATATTGGATCTCTGGATTTAGGCTATTATATGCCTAATTGTAATCGTCATTGTAAGGCAAAGACCAACTGCAAAATTTCTTGAAAAGCTGGAAATACCAATGACCTCAAGAATCATGCAACCACATATTTCAACAAAAGTGGGCTCTTTGTACCCATTTCTACAAAGTGCCATCAATGTGTTCAGAGCTTCTGTCTGTCGTTGACTTCAGAGGTCATTTGTCAGCACTTTGCAGAGATGGTCAGCTTTGAAAATATGACAAAGAGCAGAAGTAAGAATCTATTCAATTATAGTGAATGTAGTTCATACAGAAAGGGGAACTACAGGGATAAAGAAGGATAATATGCATTGGTAAATATGTTTATAATGGAAAACCACATTTAATAAGTAGTTCACTACTAATGAGATCTTGAAAAAAAGGATCATTACTACTGAATGGAAATAGAATACTGTGATTCTGGACTAATAAGAAAAAAATAATTATTATAAGTTTCATGTCTCAATAAGGAATCACAATGCAGTTCATGATAAAACAGATAAAAACAATTTAAAAATGCGTTGCCAATAAGAAATTATAAGAAATATTCTTAACAAAGGTAAAGAATTGTTAAATATGTACTGTAATTTTTATCAAGTTCATCATGATGTCAAAATTTATCAGACTGCTAAGGTAAAAAGCAGATAAGGAAAAAATGCATTATATAACAATTTTAAAATCTGAAATATAGAAATCGTATTTCAAAATGGAATTTTATTTGGAAGTGTATAGATTTATTTCTTGCTGTGTTTTACTCTGGAATCTCTTGCAATAAGCAACCAGAAAAGGAAGCATAGAACATAACTTATCATGGGGTAAGAAGGTTTTTTGTTTATTTGTTTTTAAAATTAAAGGAATCATGTAGAAAAAGCTTCCCTTAAACACAAGAAACTCATGCTATTTGACAAGTTATTGATACTACTGGCATATAGCACATTGATTAAAAGCTTAGTATTTCATAACGCTAAAGTTTTAGAGCTCATGCTTTATTTCTCCAGACAGTATTTGGTTGACATTGGTGGGATACATAACATTGCACTTTCAGAGAAAGACAGTCAATAATTATATTATTTAATAAGAATTTAAACTTTTAAAGTATTAACGTTCTTTTATATAAATGAACTGCTTAGTTCTTCAGTGGATTGTAATATTTGTGTAAATGCAATGTATTGCCACAAGCAGCAATGGGAAATAGTCATATTTGTGTAAGCTTCCATGGCAAAATACACTCAATCAACTGTTCACAAAATATATAGGAAAATTGTAGAGTATGGTATAATAGCACACATTTTTAATCATCCAATGATTTTCCTGAATGTCAGTTCCCTAGCAATGGTACCCAGTATATACAACTTCTCCCCAGAAAGGTGTGCAACTGCAGACAAAACAACATAATTGTACGTATGTCTATATAATACTTTGTATACAGATCAAACTCTTTGTTCCTCAGTTTAAAGCATACACACATTTATTCTTCTCATATTTTTAGCTGACCAGGAGCTGTGTAACTGCATTAATTCTTGAGCTAATACACTGTGGCTCTCAACAGGGCTAATTAGTTTGGGTTCAGCCCCATGTTATAGCTCCAGATTGGCTTGGAAAGGAATCAAAGCAAGCTCACATCTGTCTATATAAGACTATGTATATATACCTGGTACTAATAACGACAAATAATGCATTCTAATTCAGAGTTTGGTATCCATTTCTTCATCTCTGCTTGTTTTTATAGAGGCAACAGTTTACGAAAGAAATAAATCCTTTAATAGTAAGTTAATTCATAAAGAAGACAGAATGTTGACTTTGTCCTAGCTCATGCTATTATGTACATAGTAGACATCCCTGTATGTTCATGACACTGCATTCTTCAGTTTTAATTTCTAAAGTGTAAAACAATGTTGGTAATTAGAAGGGGGCACACCTTGTACATGCATATATGTAGGTATATAATTATATAAACACTTCTGAGATGGGTTTGTGGGTTTCAGTTTGTAGGGAGTGGAGAATGAAATTTGACATGCCTTTCTTTACAGAAACTGAGAAGCAACAACTCCTTAAATATTTTCTTTCAGTAAGTAAACACCCTCTTCTCCCTTTTTGCCTGTAGTAAAATAAAAAGATTTCAAACTATAGTATATATTTGAAACAATTATTGCAAATACAGATTTTGCAATGCTGTCTCTATGACCTGCCTGATCATCTGCAGCCTTGATGCATGAAGTGGCTCAGCTCCATCATTGTATGGTAGGAAGGGGAGGAGAAGCAAACTCTAGCAGGTCTCTATAACTTAACTGGGCTTTAGTTAACACATGACTTGTCCAGCTTATCAACTCACTTTAATCACTCAAAAGTGTTAACTTTTGCTGCCTGTTTCTATTGAGACATGAATGGTCCTTGCTCAGCATTCCAATTCACTGTCCTTTGAAGACAACAAGACACAGCTGTAGTCAGATCAGAAGAGCAGGCACATAGAGAGTAAAATGTCAGAGAATCAAACTAGTAAATTCTGCACTGAAATAATTTGTCCTGTATCTTGGCAAGATATCAAATTCTACAACTAGGTGCAAGTGTGGAATACAGATTTGATTCCTGTAAGTAGTTAACTCCAAATATATTTGCTGTTTTTCAGGTTGTCTTTTTGCACAGATTTACACTCATTTATGTTTTGAAATACTTACTTGCAAAAGAAGCTGGTTCTCAGAGTACAGTTCCAACATAAAGGAAAAATCCTTTGGGTTGTGAGTCCCAGCGTTCACAAACCATCTCAGCAAGCAAAACCAAGCACATTTTTGTTTTGCAAGACACTGCCATCTAACTTCTAATTAAATTAGAAATCTCAGTTCCTCAGAACATAATATTTACTGCTGCCCTCTACCAGCAGTCTTCATGTGGATGGTTGAAATAAGGCACTACTTGGCTTTCCTTAAAAACATGTTACAGATTACTAAGCCAGTATCATCAGATACTTAGGTAAACTAAGTTTAATAAGATCTTAGACCACAGGTCACTCAATGTCTCTAACCTGACAATTTTTGAGCTCCAGGTAAGCATAGTAATGTTTATGCATTTGTTTACATTAATTGTTCTGTTCAAAACAAGAATTCCCAATTTTCTACAGTTTAAAACAATATGAAAATACTGTGCAGATTATTTTTAATATCCTAGATTTACATCTGGAAAAATCCATTCTAGTGATCTAATTTGAGTTATTAACTAGCTCCTCTGTCTAAAAGGCACTCAGAACACATTTTATGCTATTTTTTACTAACACTATGCTATGCTTTTTTTTTTTTCAAATAAAATTACAAATGTCCCAAACAGAGGGGGAAATTAAATATTTTTTTCACTAGGTGTCATATAGTATTTTTCTGCATTTTTTACGATTAATAGTTCTTAGACACAGATTATAATTATCAACCCATGAAAAGCAAGCATTTAGTTCATACTAACATTTCACTTTAATTCCATGTTCATATGAAGAATAACAAGTCACCAAACATTTATGGAGACAAAATCTTTTGGGTTTGCTTTTTTTATTTTTAAGTTCACAAAGGATGACTAAAAAAAAGGTAAACCCACAAGCTTTACCAATCACATCAGTTTTGCACATGATATATCTACTGCCATATTCACCTGTCTATAAAGCAGCTTACATAAGCTTGGAAAAACATACCAGTTTTATCGATACAAAACAAATTAATCAGCAAATATTTAAAATTTATGAGGCATTTCTCAACAAAACCAATCATGTTAAATAAGCTGTTTCAGGCAGTTCTAGGAAAACCTTTAGCTGAAAACCTGCATTTACAATCTATCCTAAAAACAAGCAGAACACAGCACCAACCCAAGCATTAAGTCAATTAAAAAGGGGAAAAAAATGAAATCCCTTCTCAGCTTAATAACTTGTTAGTTCTTGACAAGTACAACAACACAACAATAAGCCAGTCAAAATGAGTTTTTAAAGCGAGGTTATGCCCTTCATGTTGTGTTATCACAGTGGCAGATCAAACTGCTGACTTGGACTCTTTCTGCCAGCAGTGCTGATGCTGCCTCTATGAGGCTACTGTCACAGAATAGTCATGGTACCTGCTCTTGCCTATAGAAAGGCACTAAATTGAACTCGAAGTAGTGTCTTTGTGATATCTTTTCAACAAGTCATGTCCCATTCAGCCTGCTACTTTATCTCTGTCAGGCTGGGGGCCCAAGTGGTTTGCATGAGCTGTCAGGGACAGGTATACCAACCTGCTCAGTGCTAAGGAGGTAATGCATCTTTCGGGCTTGGTATTTCCTTTCCTTTTCTTTCTTCTCTAGGTCTTTCATTTTCTCTTCATTTTCCTTTGTTTCTATGTACTCTTGAAGTTCACTCCTGTAATAAAATAAGTCTGCTATTATATTACAACAATAAAAGATGTGCTAATGCTCTGTTTAACCCTTTCATAGCTAAACAGCGTTCTGCTATTATGTATTAGCAGTATACTGACATCACTGGAACGCAAAATTACAGTTCATTCAATTCCACAGCAGCAGGATCTACACAGATATAGCTATGAAGAAATAGGATTAAAGTATGAACAGTATATGAGTTCATATTGCTTAGTCTTTTGAAGCATATGTCAACTTATGTATTTTTACAGCCTGATAAAATAGTATTCACATATGTCCTTTTATTTGTCTTTGAGTATCATTTTAGTTTTATTATCTCTAAGCAGGAACTATTATAATGTAGGGATTTTCCTGAAAACGGTTTAAAAATAAAAGTTGTTCACTTATGTCTCAGCTAGTGACTTGCAGCCCCTCCTGATCTGCAGACAGGTGAGATCTTGTGGAATGAGAGAGGATAGCAGACATGGGATGAAAGACGACAGTCACTCCTAGATCCCTGAGCCTTTCGTAAGGTTGAGAATGTAGGCATAGAGAAAAACTGGATGTAAACCTTTTGTGAATACACTGTCCTTAAGAGGAGTTTCCATGGCATCAGACTTCTTGCATAGGTCATTCCTGCTCTGGTTTGATAGGAACTGTACAGGCCACCACAAGAAACAGGAACGTAACTGCCTCATGGACCACTGCCTGTGTAGAAAATTCTTTCATCACACAAGAAATAAGGAACTATATCTAATACCAGGTTTCAAAGAATGGAGAAAACTCATGATTTTAACTGAATGTTTAGAGTAAAACTTTAACAGAATAAAGTGGGCACAGATTTCCTTCTCAAAGGCTTTTTTTTTTTTCGATAGAGCCAGGCTTGCCATATATTATGCAAACAGTAGAGTGAATTAATGTTCTAAAAGAAACTAAATTCCATGATATTGAGTGCAGTGCACGTGTATGGAATTTTTTTGTCCCAGTTAAAAAAGGTTAGTTTGATTAACATTTGTTATTTTTGTTATTACAAAATGGCTAGTTCAAATTAACCTGTGTGCCAAAGACACCAAGCATATTCAGTCAAGCATTTAGGTTGCTTAAATGTTAATTAAGTGAGTAAATTCTAGTCTTTATTTTTTTAAGCATGTGTGTATATGATAAAATAAAAAGAAAAAATATTATTCACATAACTAGATAATTCAAATATTCCTGCAAAACAGATTATTTAGAGAGGTCCACATTATTAGTCTCAGTTGTTCCAATGAGTACCAAATAAGACACTGTGAGGACATGGGTCAAATTGTGTCAAAATATGCACATGGATAAGTTTGCTGATATGAATAACCCCATGGGAAAAATATATTGCTCGTGAAAGTGTTTTTAAGATTGTGGCTCAGACTTACTCTTGATATTTTAGTTATCATTAAATTAGTTCATCAAAATATATGAAGGAACAATAATTACTTTATAAATATGAAAACACATTCTTAAGTACAAGTTGAAGTGTAGAATTTTTATTTGTTTCATGCTATCTTTCAAGTTTTTATCAATTAAAATAGGTAAAATGTTAAGTAATTAAACATGCTTTATTTCCACTGTAAAAGAAAAATGGAATAAGAGGAAAATAAAGATTGGAAAAAATGTACAGGTATGTTTCAATCCCTGAAAATATTTTTTGTTGCAGTTTACTGTTAAAGGCTGCTAATACAATATTTCATACAAGGTTACTTATGAAGCACACTGACGTTTAAAAATCACCATGCTATGCTTTTGCAGCAGTGTAATTTTTTTCCAACATAAGATTAAATTGCAAAATAAATGAATTACTTAGAGTGGCATGGCCCCCATTTTGCCACCCTTCTCTTGAAAATTGCTTATTAATATGAAAAAAGAAGTTGGAAAATAGCCTGTTTTACTTTATGCATAGCATTCTGGGGCCTCAAAGCCTGCAGAGCTGGACTAGCTGCACATTTTAGATTGTGTTGGCAAGCAGGGACGATGACCTTTCTGACCTGCATCTCAAGGCTATTATTAATCGCTAAGTAACCTGGTAAAGCCAAACAAATTTGTTTCCATTGAAAGGATCTCTATCTGTGTCTGAGAATTTGTGCTGTACCAAACAAACCTCATTAACTGTGTCCATTTTTGACAAAGAACTAGGAGTTGGAGAGATTGGCGACCTTTCTTTGTCCTTAAGGTACAGATTTCAGAGTCACTGCATGTAGGTACATAAGCATTTTTACTTGGAAACTCTTTGTTCTATATCCATCAATCATAAACAAATGAATAAATCGACAATGCATATAGTATCAACTTTGTTCTTTTATTTTATGCCACTTTACCTTCAATATCAGAGTGTATGATCCATGGTTTACATATTTAATACTATTTCTTCTTGATTACAGAGCCCTCTATTCAGCTTTAGTACCGCTATCTATAACGGATGAAATGACTATCAACACATCACTACAGTCTGTTCATGTTCTTATACACTCAGGTACTTCTTCCACACAGTGCGTATGGAAGCGTTTTTACTCAGAACAGAATGGGTGATAAAAACCCACAAATAATGTCAAAAATATAGGTTTGTATTACAGAAATAATGATAATGGGATGTAAAATATTTCCAATTGTTATCAATCTGAATTTACCAGATTGCTCTGAATGATTAATAATCTTTATTTGCTGAAATTAGATGAAGTCTAAAATACTTGTTGAAGTTCAATGTAATTCACGATCTCCTTAGGAAGTGCTAACATCCAAATCACAATGATCATTCCTGATTATCACACATCCTCACTAATATTTCTACCATAATCCATGTAAAAGTTTGAGATTTTTTAAGCATTTACAAATAATTTTCAACATACTTTTGCAGCCTACACATTTTGTCAGTTGTGCTACAATATCTCTATCAGGCATTATACTGCCCTGTACATTTGCACCAAACATGCAGACAATTCTGTCTCAGGGATAATAGCTCCCAAGATGATTCTCTCCTGAGAGGTAGTACAAAATTAGGGGTATGTAGCACTGATGTTTTAGCATAAATATAGATTTATTTTAAAGCTATTTGAACCTGAAGCTTTCATCTCTTTTACCATACTTTCAAGAATTTGAAAGGGAGCAACAAAAGCAAAGAATCTAAAAGCAGTTGGATATCAATATAGTATTTCATACATTAGCAGACTAATTCTAACATGTTATGCACACATTTTATGCAGGGATTTCACTGTTCCCATAAAGAATGGTGTGTATAAGTGTAAGTGGTGCTAAAGATATAAACTTAGTCTTCCAAATGGAGTTAGAGTTCCAGACAGCTTACATGGAAATGTGTTCATTGAGAAGTTTCATGCTTGTGACCTGCTACATGTGTGCCTTCTCAGAGAAAATAAATCTGAATTCCATTAAAGTAAATTGAAAATTGGTTGAAATTAAATGATTTTTGGATTAAATTTGCACATTTACTGCCAGCCTTCTCTTTGTTCATAGGTATTGTGGGTTCATTGAGCAATCTTTTCTTGGGATGCATGGGTATCATCTATATACGACACCATGAATACTAGCTATGATGCACGATAGTTGGGGGATTCTGGACCGATTTGCTTCAGGATAAACCTTTCCTGGTTCAGTGTGAAGTGGGATAACTGAATACAGGCAAGTTGTTTGGCCTGCATATTTAAAGCTCAAAACAATTTTTGGGGGAGAAAAAGAGTTCTGTAAATGCAAAACAGGTTTTCAGTTAATTAATAATTTTGTTCTAGTTTTATAAATGATCTGTCTGTTGCATGCTCATAGCTGGAATAGTACTGCTCATAACTGAAAAAGTGGGTAGTTATTTTAGCACATAATCTTTTCATTATCCTAAAGTTTATCTCAGTACATTAACAGCATCTACTGCATCTTCCTACAAAACTGGTTTCCCATATAAGCTTAGTCCAATCACTTTCTATCCACATAGGTTTTTATGGAATAGCTTTGTAGAGGAAATATGTGGATGTTTTAACAAATGTAGTGTCCTATCGTGATCTGAAAATTATCAAACAAATTAGAAGAATATCAATGTTTATTAGTGCAAGTTTAGGATGCATTCTTTTATTAAAAACATGAATATACTAACTAACACAAAGTGTGTGTTCCTTGTCATAGGGAATATTTTGTGTAATTGAAAATAGGTGTAAGATTATTAACATACGTGCTCAAAACCCTCAGTTAAAAATGATCTTGTGTAACATATCTGTGAAGTAGCTGCTGAACTGTTAATGATAAAATTATTTGCTTTATGTAGTTCAAAAATTAAAAAATTTCACCTGACAAGGTAACTTATTGTTATTCTGATACTTCATTATGCAGTACGCAGTGGTGCTGGTTCCTGCTATGAGATGCAAATTCAGTTGACAGTGCTCCTGCTGTCTGTATAAAGGTTAAAAATACACATATAATATTGTTCCTGGCACTTTTGAAAAGGTCTTTGAGTGACGATTTCAGTAATATACAAATTTTAGTAATTCTGCATAGAACTGCATCATTTTACAAATTCACACTGACCAACATTTTTTGAAGTTTATCAAACTATTGTATTCTGCTCACATTTTCACTGGCAGTCTGTGGTCCTTTGGCCAAATAATATTATAAAAGTATAGTATTAACTAAAGGGCATCTGATAAAAATCAATAATTAGTATAGTTGCCTAGAGTATCCAGAAAAAGTATTAAGTTATTGTGATTTTAAGCCCAAATCATAAAATGCCAGCAATTGAGGCAGTAGGCAACCTTAGCCTAAGAGGAGATAACCTAAATTGATTTTATCTTCCTGACTATATATCATTCTCCCTGCTCAAATACAGAATATGGAAGTCAAAATAAAATTAGTGAGACAATAATTTTGGTACATCACTGCATGCCACTTGATTTCACATCATATTGGTGTGGGTGAGAATAGCATATGACCTGCCATGATAATATCATTTGAGTTAATCTATTAAATTTGGGGAAAAAATGA